ACATTATGTCTTCTATATGCTTAATAAAGTATAACTCGTAATATTTCACAACCTACTAACTGCGAATATTTAAGATCAATATAAAAGCAAGTCTTGTAGGCGATTATGAAAAGTAAATTTCCATCGAATTCATTGTCAGGAAAGTATGCGTTTCCCGACAACCATTGTCTAAGAAAGACATATAGTACATTTTGGACAAGCACGAGAAACAATATTAATCTCCAAGTTTAACATGCTCTAAGCTGATTCAGTGAAAGTGGATTGAAATGTATGCTCGAGAATAATAATTTAAAAATATCGTAAAACTGACACTGCAACGAAATTGGTAGGTCAACAGAAGACGAATAAGGCCCAAAATCATGTAAGGAAGAACCGTGTTAAGGGAATTATGACAACAAGTTATAATACACACTAGCGTGCGAGATACACGGAGGAAGCTTGTTTTTGCCTATACTCTGAATAGGTATTAAAAGCTTTAAACAAAAATTTGTCAAGAAAATTATAATGTATATAGTACTATAAGGCTCCTGACTGGGCTGGCTGAGTAGTCTCTACCAGGCTACTGAACGCGACTAAGGACGATTCAAGTCTGAAAGTAAATAATATAGTATTATTTACGTGTCGATTATAATATATCTACTTGAAGCTTACCAAAAGGGATCGTGGAAATAGAGCAAGGCTTACTGCAGTTCTTATAATCCTCAATATAGTAGTTTTAAAAACCTGCAGGAAAAACAAACCATTAAACACTTTCTCTGTGAATGCTCGGCTTTGGCGTCCAGAAAAAATAGGTTTTAGGGATCTCAATTCGACGTGATAGACTTACGTTTTTATTTTTGAAGGATTTTAAACTGAAAGCTTTAGTATTCCCTGTAAACCTCTTTTTTGAAATGTAAAAACAAAAGTCAGAGATCACAAATTAAATCGTATATGCAAATAACTGCAACATTTTCATATAAAATTAGACACTTAAACACATACATACATACATTCACTACAGAAAATCATCCAACAACTGTCAAAAGTAAGCCTTAGCCCATAGCACGCATGAAGCTGCATATGTGAGTACATTTACGAAATGTTTTGGGTTGTGCAAAAGGGGTGGGCACTTCTTATATCAGACAATGGCAATGCCAGCCATATTCTTTCTTTCCCCTTTTTGTAATTCTTGCATTTTGTTGTTTTTCAATGCGTAACACGTTCCTTGAAGTTTTTTTTTTGCGCCATTATGGCATCTCGAGTGTGTACGAGTTCTTAAGTTTTCAGACTGCCAACCAACTTCCAGCTTTCATACGTTGTCTGCTGTGTATTGGGTATGTTTGACATTTACATTTTTTATGCCCAGATACATTCCACAATACAAAGATTTGCATATATATGTATGTTGGTGTGTGCTCCGATAAAAAAAAAGTCGCCTTTGTACGAGTTAAATTTCGTTGTGCCCTTTTGAGCTCTTTTAATGTTCGGTGATGATGATTATGGCGACGAGAGAGCCATAAATTTTTTTGTGAGCTTCAATATAAAATACAAAGATTTAATACTTTTAAAAGAATTGGATAAATAAAATGTACACTGAAAAAAATTAAGTAAAAATAATTACAGTATCCCTCTCTCCATCTATTTCTGAACAAATCAGCCTCTAATTTATACAAAAATCTTTTAAGAGTGAAGCTTAAATACGGCAACCTATCTCAAGCCCTTCAAAATACTTACTGATTTTAAGTTGTATTTTCCTCAATGAGAAATCCATTCCATATGATCAGACATCTCTGTCTATTATAACGCGATGTCAAAGTTAATATAGGAGAGGAATTATTTTTAATATGAAGAACAGGACTGAATTTCAATAAAATGGAGAAGACTTTAGTTATTTCTAGAGAAAAAATTAAAAGTTAAAAAAGTATTCATTTAATGAGATATATTACCGGCTGGTTAAAATTTAAGAACCAATACATTGTCTCCAGCCAATGAGTTCTTATGCTGATCCATTTCTATACATGCTGACGTTAATAAGCAAATGGTGGTTTTTATAGCTTTTTGAAATAATGTAAGAAATTCTTCTTTGAATTCGAACACTCCATAGGCACTTTTTTTCACACATTGAAAAAGGAAATAGAATAAACTCTTCCAACTCATTCAGCCTATGGAAGTCAAGCACCAAAAAAAATGGGGTAAATGCAAAATAGTACTAATGGGTTGGCCAAAAACACACATAAGAAGGCAAATCCCTATGCATACGAGTATGTCTTGCATGTCTCAATGATTTAGTGAAAACAAGACCCAACGAAGAAGAACTGCGTAAAATGTTAAAAACCATAAAAAGCTTAAAAAAGAAAGAAAGAGCAACGCATTAAAAAAGAAAATGTCTACTTTAGAAATTTCATCGTAAAAAGTATTTTTGGGTTAAAAATTTGTACGCCACGCATGCAGATGAGCGGGTCGACGACACACCATATCGGATACATATGGAGCCATGACCGAGTATATAGCATGTTACATGTATGGCTCGTTCGTATCCATGCTTATGCATAACTGCCTGCTTACTTGTGCCTGACACGTGTGGGTGGGTGCTAAGTCTGTGCTATACGGGAAGCTGTACTGTGCTGTGCTATGCTGCGGCAACGCCACTTAAGATTCCCCCTTTTACGTAAACAAAATTTTCATTTTTTAGAGTTTATTTTTCTTTAGTGCCTTGAGTACGCCTGAGTATGAGGGGTTTCCTTCTATAGAAATAAAAAATGAATTCTATGTAGCAATCAAGGGGGAATTCTTTAACCAAATATAAAAATAACAACAAAACTCTACAGCCACATCATATACGAGTATGCATATATCTTACCAGCAAATATATAAATCTTCTGTATACTCGTTTGGCTGTATCTATCTATACATCGGGAAGATACATACGTAAGTGTACGGTTATACTTAAGCTTTTTAACATTTCTCAAGTATTCAATATGCGACAAATGATATGTTTCGGTTTTGGTTTAAGGAAAACATAAATTTTGTTTATTTTTTGTTTTTAGTATTAGTTTTATTTTTTTTTATTTTCTATTTTTTTCTTTTTTTGGTTCTACGTTCAGTTCATTTTTTGATGAAAATCTTTGGGGTAAAAAATTACATCGTTGCATAAATAAGTATACAATCAAGAAATGAAGTGCTTAATTTGAAGTTTCTTATTTTTAGTAAACAGTTTCGTTTCACTAGAAAATAGATATGTCTTAATATTTATTTTTATTTATATTTCTTCCTTACAAATACTTTATTTAGAACTCATGCACATATTTCATTTCTTAAACATAATTCAAAACGAAATGTATCGGCTCGTGTGATAAGTCGAGTGATTTAGTAATGCAAAATAATTTATTTATTTATTTATCATATCAAACTATAATTTTTAATAAATTGTTGCTTTTATATGAAATTACTTATTCTTAGTTTTGGTGAATACCTACAATTCATACCAGAAAAGCTTTTATGATGACCCTATAATGCGTAAATTTGATCCTATCTATACATATTTGCTCTGACAACTATCGAAGCATTAAACTTAATGACTTCGCATGCAAAGTCAGTTATCAACTACCGCAAATCTCTAAACGAGATGGCTTATATACATATAAAGCAAACATCTATCTTAATCTTTTTACACCTATGGTCAGCAATTACAATTTTTCGAAGAGTGTGTTGTGTTTCTTTTTTTAAATAGAATGGTTCCCTTAACCGGTTACCGAAGCTTCTCGATGAACATTTCTGAACTGCAATCTGAATACATCCTCGTTAGAATACTGTCATATTACCAGAGCCTCAGCTAAGACATGGCGCAGAATCGTGAAACAGAAGCTTAAAGACGCACAGTACTTTTAGTATCAAATTGCGAGAGAATCAGGCAGCAGAGTAAGATTTATAGGAATCGTTGAAGACCTATGCTCCCCTAGAAGAGAAGGAGTATGTAAATAAGTAGGTATATTATAAGATTTGGGACACACATATCACTCATTCCTCTTATCTCATGCGCTTGCTTTCTTGCTTAGATAGGTATTAAGTCACTAGATATTAAGTCTATATACTCTTATCTGTCACCACCTGATTACTGGAATAAATTTTCCTCATTGTTGTGGAAATCTTCTCCATTCATTCCTAAAAGGCGGTTTTAGTGGATTCCAGTTTCACACTGTGGCTTTCGATGCTTTCTACCTACTTTATACAATATTTGGTTCTTGTTATTTTTTTATGTTATATATAGCACTACTATACTATAATATTTGAAATACAATACAAACAAATTTTTTTCCGAAAAACTGAAAGAAATATAATGTCGAATGTTCAACAATAATAAAAAATCAGCTATCATTAAAAGGTATATGGTCAGAGTGTTACCACACCACTTCGAATGTCACAGTAATTTTACATTGGTTTGAATTCAATTGGGCCACTTCACTTACTTACTTACTGTTGTGCTCTTCTCCTCGTGGAGCATAGGGTCTCTATTATAGATCTAAACCTAACCCTATTGAGTGCTTCTCGGCATATATCATTCCAGTTATAATTTGCATTATTAAGTTCTCTATCTATAGTTCTGCGCCATGTTTGTGCTGGTGCGCCAGGTCTTCTAGAGCCTTCGCAGGTCTTCGAAGTGTGTGGCCAATCCATCGCCATCGATATCCATATATTTCTCAGCATACCGAAGGTAGAGTTTGCTTTGTTGACGAATATCTACATCTTCATCAGCGCCACTTCTGGCTGTGAGTACACTCCCCAAGTAGATAAAGTTTTGTACGCACTCTAACTTCTCTTCAATTGAGCTACTTTAATAGGTTTATTAGATTAAGATTAACAGCTATAACACATAAGTTGTGCATTTAAACTGGTTTTTTGAGTATTATATACAATATAACATGATATACATATATAATACACATTGAAGGTAGCTATGATTACTTTGTATTATTTAAAAATTAGTTGCTGAAATATTTTATATATTTACATCATATAATTTTTTTTTCGTCCCGTTCGTTACTATTTTTGGGCTTGAAATTATATTAAAGTAAGCATTTCTGAAATGTTCAGAACTTACAATTATAAAGTGCTAATTAATTACACTAATTAATTTTAATAATTTATAATCATAATGGACGGGGTAAGCTTTTAGAAGATTAATGCATAAGTTTAGTTAATATAAAATTTTATTTTGTAGCCTAACAATAATGTCATTCAAGGAGAGCACCCAATACACTTGATATTACCTACAATTGGTGGAACAGTGGCTCATCTTCTCCATCAAAATATCTACAGAAAACATCAGGCGTTATTTAGACAAGATGTATTGACTGCACATAAACAATTACGTGAGGAGATGGGTATCCCAAAAATAATTTTTAAAAATGTTTGTATGAAATGCAGCGTTATAGGCAATTTAATGAAATATGAATCACAAATAAAAAGGAACAGCTTACCTCGATTTTACAAAAAAAATGTTACAGAATTCCAACCTCGTTTGTTAGAATGTACCAACAACTCATATGCTAAGAGATCAATGGATATGGAAAAAGAAATAGCTGAATTTATTATATCCAAACTATGCTTATATCTTCTTGTGACACCTTCATTAGCAACAGTAGTAATGCTCTTCTTACGCTAGGATCTGCCAAACCATCATTAATTATCATATATAAATCAATATAGTATTATATATAAATAATTTTTAAAATTATATCAAAATCTTCAAGTCAATTAGGTAAGATTGAAAATCGTTCAAATATATAAATATATATATATATATATTTTATAGTTATTTACCAAATGTTTTTTCAACATTTTATTATTGTTTTCAAGTATTCCACTACTATATTTAATAACGGAAAAGGGCTTCAATGTATATTTTGTATCTCTAATGTATTACTAAAAATATTCTGAAAAAAGTCAATTGAAAACCATAAAAACCAAATTTAGTATAGGCAAGTATAGGTATTTATACTTTACAAATATGTATTCTATTTAATATTATAACACATTTCAGATCATTCGCAAAACGGCAAGTACTATAATATCTAATAGTAATATAATATCTAGTAGTAACTTGAAAGCTTCAATATGATTAATCAAGTAAAAATATTTTCTATAGGCAACTAATATGTTAATGGTTAAGCAAGCTATAAATTATATATATTTACTTATTAATTCATATATATCAACTTTATTAATTATATTTCAAATATTAAAACTGTAATAGTTATGAAGCCCTGTGAAATTCAAAAATGAATTAATAAAGTTTCAAAGCGGAATTTATATATATTTTTATATCATTTATCAACACTAACAAAATAAAAACAGGTATGACTTATATTATACTTTTATTTATCTTGTAAATTTTCGCTTGGAAACTGCTTGTATTATTTTTAAAAAATATTGAGGCTATTAAATGGAAATATGATGTACAATAATTCATTTTAACCATTTAAACGATATAACCATCCTTTTTCTTTTTTTTTTCCAACTATTATATATTATATTATTCAATAAGCTCCTATGATGGAAATTAAAATAAAGATTTTTAGTTAAAACATATAAAATTTAAAAAAGTCAACATTAAAAATAACTGTCATCATTTCAAAGATATTAAAAAATTTACTAATCCAAAAACTGAATACTTACACTTTCTAACTTTATTTGTTATATCATTATAGATTTTTTTCCTTAAAAAGCGCCCCCAAAAAACATAGCTCTATAAAGTGATCAAATAAAAAACCATGAGTATAAATATGGTAAGTCTTCTGCAAAAGTGATCTCAAAGTTATGTTCAAATAAATGTAAATTTTATTATACAAACAGAACAACAATCAGTCGAAGTTTAAAGAATCAATATATATAGTTTTACCACCGGTGGGAGGACAAGAGGCGATAAATTCATATAAACGAATACATAAGAAATATCAGGCATTGTTTAAGGAGGATGTATGGAATGCGTATGAAAATTTGCGTCGCCAAATGTCCATTCCACCAAAAATATTACGGCCCATACGTATGGAATGTGTTCTTCAAGACGGATTTGTTAATGTAGTTTATAAGCTACCAATTAACAAGAATCTATCTCCACTCTACCGTGAATGTTTGTCTAATTTTCAATATAATATGAATTTATATATAAATGATTCATTTGCTGAGAGAACAAATGACTTTCAAAAGGAAGTCGATCAGACAAGACATAATATCAATTGTGTTCTATATCTTCTATCACTACCACCTACAATAGCCTTTTTACTATGGCATATGCATTGATAAATGGCAGTCTATGAAAAGTAAGAATATCTGTAGTTGTAATTATATTTTATAAAAAAATGTTATTTAAAATTTCAATGTTTGTTAATATGATTATATATTTGGGTATATATATTATAGTAACGAGAAAAAGAGGCAATGAAAAATTAATTCGGATATATGATATGCGAAAATGTATGGTATAGAATAAACTAAAAAAATTTGAACTATAACGTTAGGAAGTCAATTTCACAGAGCCCAATAAATTCAAAACCAATCAGTAAAGAATAATTATAAGACGACTACTATAAGTAAGACTTATTTATATTTCCTATTATTTATAAAAGTTGGCTTTATATCAGATGAAAATTGAAAATATGGACAAGGGACTAATGAAATGCAGTACGTAATGAACCCAACAATCGAAAGCGACAAGAAAGATACGTCCCTTAAATTAATACCACCCACAATAAAATTTATTATTAGGATGAAAACCCATATGATATATATGTATAACCCATATCAGCAACACTTGTAGTACTTAAATGAATGGAGGAATATCATCACAATATAATCTTTAATATTTGGAATTAATTTAAACTATTTCTATGTTTATTTAATAATAATTATTTTAAAGAATAGAAGATTATATATTAAATTATATTTGTTGTAAACAATTTTAAAAAGATATAAAAATGTGTTTTATAAAATCAATCATTCTATAAAATTATACACATATTTATATATGACAAAACTACAGACATCGACCTGAATGTAGGTCGTATTCATAAACTTATTACTGTCGAAGCGTACTCATGTTGTTGAGGTTTAAAATCTATTGTAAAAGGAGAAGAGAAGGTAGGTAGCAAGTGCACAACATGAATATAGAAAATCATTGAGTATGATACATAAGTCATTTGCAACTTCCCGTTTAAAATGGCACGCCTACAATAAAACTAGATCTTGGAAATTTGGAACATGATAGCTCTATTATTGATATAATATACATATATCAATAAAAATATAACCGATATTTTTATTTTTCGTTAAGTCCCTTTCCAACCTGTTCTAAACAATACCAGCAAATACCTCCGATCGTAGCCCCCGCTCCCCTTCTCATATACTTCAGATATTTCATTTTCGTTGTAGATCCCTAAATGTATCATAGTGCAACATAAAGATCATCAATGAACTAAATGTATATGTATTGATATATTTGAAAGCAGTACTTCTTATTTTTAGAGAAAAATAAATTGAAATTGTTCACTATTTATTTAATAAAAAGGATCTGTACAAAATAAAGAAAAGTTGAAATTAGAGTCAAGGCCCGTCTCATTAATATATGTAGTATATGTTATAAATGGAATGGAAACGATTACCAAGGAATATGTAATACATAAACTGAAACTTTGTATACATATCAATTGATATTTGAATACTTATACTATATTAATAAAAATCATTCAATAATAAAATAATAAGTACGATCAAAATTAGCAGTAATTCATTATCTGTAGTATTCGAATGGGTCTTACGAAGGTTGGATTGCAAATTTTTATACTCTTCACACTGTTGTGAATAGGAACATTATTTGCCATGATAATGTGGTATAAGGTATGAAAGGGTCAACGAAGCTAAAGCCAATTCGATTTTAAATAAGTGTGTATATATATATCCTACTTGACATATCTTAAGTTACCGTTAAGGATAGCCATGATTTTATTTTTTAATTCCATAAACAATATATTATTATAAAAATAAAATATAATAAATTAAAGAAAAAAATCTTAAGTTTAAATTTTAGTATACACTTTTGGAGTTATTTCTTAAAAATTCACAGTATATTGGAGAAAGTTATATTGGAAAGCAATCATTATGAGTGTGGATATGGTAAATTGTTTGAGGAGTAAAAACGAAAGTTAGTTTAGTAAATAAGTGTTTTTTAACTTTCAGATTACTGAAGATCCGCCATCAAAATCAAAAGTTTCTTTATTTTTACCACCACTTGGAGGCAGAGAGCCAGGAGAACTTTATCAACACATACACTGTAAGCATCAAGCGATGTTTAGGCAAGATGTTATTTTAACCTACAAAACCTTACTCCATCAAATGTATATGCCTTCGGACTTAATTAAGTCCATTCGTATCGAATACATTCACAGAGATGAACATTTAAAAGTATTTGCTAACTTAGTGGTTGATAAACATCTATGCTGCTCCTATCGTTTACAAGTCCTGCATTTTCAACGCCGATTTAATATGTATATAAACGATGCCTTTGTTAAACGGACTGAAGACTTTCAAAAAGAAGCTGAACTACCAACACAAACAGTCAACGTTTATTTTCTCCTGGCAATTCCAGCAATAGTTGCATTGCTGATTTGGTTTGGACCGTAACGTAATATAGAGATATCCTGCTTCATCCATTGATCAGAAAGACCATCGAAAGCAATATATATTCTATACTATTCTTATATACGTAGCTATATACATGCATGTATATAGAATGTATAGAATATATTTTGAACTTCCTATGTCAATTTGGACTACGATTTATTCACTGCGGAATTGTTTTTAAAAAAATAAAGTTTTAGGCTCAACATAAAATGTCAACTGTTTTAGTTTTTGTGTCATTCATTCACAATTATGAATCAAAGTAAGATAAGGCTAATAAGATTATTTCTCCTCATAAGTCGAGAAGCGAATTGAAGATCTCAATAACTGCAGGTAAAATACTTTGGTTTAATTTTAAAATATATACTATATTGCTTCCACATGTTCTCAGAAAAAACAAATGTCTTTGGCATTGATATGTCCTATTTTACTATATGAGGAGAAATATCATTGCACTCCCTTCCCTTCTTCGATATCTAGCCTTATCTTACTGCGATTCACAATTGTGCGAGAGTAACATTTCGCTGACATGAAATAGTTTAATAGGCATAGGTTAGGTTGAAGTGACAGCCTTGTGCACTAAAACTTACTTAAGCACAAATAAACACCATTCCTTATGTAAATTTCTAATCTTGGAAAAATATTTTAATCTCATCTTATATCTTATAAGTTTTATGATTAGAAAACAAATTGGTGCACCACAATCTTTAAGATATATTATAATATTCCTGGAGAGAATCAAATTAGAGCTGTTAACAAACTTAAGAGTATCTTTAGATTCTAGACCCCAGACCTAATTCGATCCAATGGAAGTGAAAAAACGTATTACTTAGAATCATATTCCTTCAGGGTATAAGATTATAAGACGGGCAAAAGTTTCACTCAGCATTTTACAGATTTTTTGTGTCTAAAATAAAACTCCTGAACATACTATCTTTTTCTTGCCAATTTTATATGTGCTTGTATATAACATATGTGTAGAATTTGAGTACCTAAAGAGGCATTCATCATGCCCTTCGAAATATTTTATTGAAGCTCGGTGAACAAATAACGGCTTCATAGGAATATGAATATTTCACGATATAAATCCATTAAATATTTTTGAGTTTTCAATAAAATAATTTTAGAAATGTTCAATAAACACACCTTTTTTTGAAACCTTTTATTTACCATTCAACACCCTCATCAAAAATATATAAATTTCTACTATTATCTCATATTATATGTACGAGTATGATTACTATTTTACTGAATATGAGAAAATCGATTAACTTAATAGTTTGCTTAACCCTTAATTAGGGAAAGCATATAGTAAAAAAGACATTATCGAACCTTTGAGCATGCTGTCTCGAGGCCGACAGAACTCGAAAGGATAATAAATGATCTCGATGAAAAATTAAAACATTCAAACATGCAAACAAACAGACATTAAAAAACAATTTCAATTTATTCGCAGCATTGTTGACCTCATAATAATTAGAAAACAATCAAAAATATGGCACTGACAGACAAATAACGAACAAACTGTGGGTAAAATGGTATAATGATATCCAAATGCGGGTCCTTTCTCTATGTCAATAAACTCTTTCAGCACTAAACAAATAATTTTTAATATAAAAAGAAAAAAAGTACAACAATAGATTAATCGAAGGGAAAGGGTAAATTTAATGCTCATTTGAACACTCAAGTGGTCAAAATATACAAATGGTTTGGTCGACAAATTAACCCTTAACCCCTTTTTCAACTAATATGAACATATTAAGTACATAAATAACAGTTGGTTGAAGTGTATGGAAAATTTTTCAAGGAAATTACATATCTGAAAGGGTTTATTGTACGGCTCCATGCAAGCAGGAAGTGAGCAATTTATGTGAGTTTTTAATGATGCAAGTACGAGTATATTTTCCGTGATGTATGAAGTTACGCATTAACAACCCTCACATAAAATATAGGTGGCTTTTGAAGACAGATATGTGTTTTTTACTATATTGAACGGGTTAAATAATGATGGTTGGTTTAATGAATGATATTATTTAACACTATGTAGTAGGAAAAAAGTTGAGTTTACTATGTAAACTAAATAAAATAAATAAATAAAAAAAATAAAGGAATTTAAGTTTTATCAAAGCAACACAATCCTTCAATCTGATAGTTTTTAAAAAATTAATTATTGATTCTTTATTTACTAAAAGTTTTCGATTGAATACTTAAGCTTGTCTTTTTAAAATTAAATACTCATTAATTGATTTTTTAAATATTTTTCAAAGACCTTCATATATAACAGTGGTCCCCAACAGTGGTCCCCAACAGTGGTCCCCAACCCCATACCAGAGATTTAACCATCAACGAGATGGTTAAAAATGGTCCGTGAATCAAATTTAACAGGTATTGACTACATAGCTTATAGCTTGTCCACTAATACCTCATTTATTAGAAAATGAAACCAAAAAAAATTCCAAGTAATTATATACCTATTTTATAGCCTATATACTATAATGTACCTATGCACTCATAAAATTCATTATACATTATACCAGAAATGCATAAAGCATATTAAAAAAATCATACAGTTCATTATTCTTAAACTTTATGGTTACTACTAAAAACAAAAATATCACAGTGGTCCTTAGTCAAAAAAAGGTTTGGAACCACTGATTTATATAAGATAGTATTTCCTATATACGTTAAATAATATAGTGAGCCAATTTCATTAATAACTAGTCCTCAAATAAAGAGCTTCTATGCAAGTTTCATTGAACTTAATTTGTTGAATTCCAAAGTTCGAGATGAGGTACTCATTAAGCATGTTGATGATTGGGACCCACATAGTTTTTGCGAGCGCCTAAAGGGTTCAGAAGACTACTAATTAGTGATAGTATGAATGGATTAATATTGATTTATATTAATGGAAGATTAATGGATTGATTAATATTAATTGTTTGCACGTATTAGAAACTGATTTCAAGAAATAGACATTTATAGACTATAACTACGGATGGGATGATTGGTTCAAGTCGTTTAATTGGTTCAAGTAGCGGCTCAGTTCATACATATATTTTTAAGTTTCGTCTTGTTTTGATTTCAACTATTTAATTAGTTATTTATAGATATCTCGATGAAATACAATCCTTATGGGTGAAGAACCTTTGCATATTACTAATGAAGGTAACATTAACTCTTTGAGGTTATTAAAGCTCGGTTTAAATAGGATGACTATTCTCAGCTTCCAAAGAGCAATATCAAACATAGTTTTCGTTTCATCTGGCTGGTGGCAGTTATGTTATTGATTATTGTGACAGATTCCTATTTTGATCACTTCTTCATTAATACACCAGAAGCAATTAAGAACAACTATCCATTTTGAGACATATCTTTTATTCTAGCTTATTGGTACCAATGTGGTAAATTCTTCCCAGGCATTAATGCGCTATTCGTCTTCACACATATATTTACATATATGTACAGCATATATGTAAGTGTAAGAGATAGCAATATGCTATAAGCAAACATATTAAGTTTTTGTAAACCTATCTATATAATATATTGTATAGTTACAATATATTAAGTTGCCTGTCGCAACTTAATATGAGTTAAGCCCTTTAAATTTAGTCTTCACTACTTAAGTACTCAGCCAGGATTTGTAGTGTTAATGAGACACAGCTTAAGTCAGCACGTACATTAAATTCTTCTAGACCAACAATCATTAATGACATACTTAAACCTCTAATATGCCACACCTAATGATTGCTCATATCATACCTTTGGTACCTATTTTATAGAACCAACACCTCATCTATGTGCATATACCATTTATCTATACAACAAAGTGTACTAAAGTATTAAAAGAATTTAGAGAGTGTATCTTTGTTTAATTCCTTTTATTTATATGATTCAAATTACGTTTTGCATGTAGAAGAATATTCTGATTTACTTTGTATTAATCCTTCCATTGCTCTAAAGCAACTCTAGAACGGTTGAAATCTCCATATCACCTTAAAGCGGATAAAAGTCTTAAAATATATTTGCAAGATTTCAAAGAATTTTACTTTTGTTATTTTTGTTAATTTTTTCTTAATCACTGAAAGTAAGAGTTTACCTAAAGAGATTATATAAGACTGTATTTCCAAATATATAATATAATATCACAGTGATATAGTTTTACACCCAGAAGTGTGCACAAGGGTTAAGCCGATTAAATTTCCATAGTAAGAAGAATTGAGTAAACTATTTTTCTTACAAATTGCTTGGAAATGAATTTGGTGCAGATTTGCATGATTAAAAAATGTTTACTTAAGCTATGAGATACTTTCTAAAGACTTTGCCGACAAATATTTTTTAAATGATGTGCAAAATATTCTTAGAAGTCTTTATGCTTCTTTGAGTTGTTTATTTATGTAGAATCGCAAAATGAGATATGATAGTAAACTATTCAAATAACTCAGGAACTACTATAATAATATAATAAGGTGACTGATATTGATTTAGTTCAGAAGTTGATTACCGAAGACATTACTCGCGTTTATACGAACTCCATTTTCATGAAATGTATCATAACTCGTGACGAGATATGGACTTATTTTGTACTCTTTGAGATGCAACTCAAAAATTATAAATTACAAATTTCGTATACTTTCTGTTTTTCAAACGCAAGAATTTTGCTCATTTGCAATGTAATTAATGCAAGAGTGAGTACTATTACTAGGAAATCGATTATAATAACCTCTAGCCCTCTTGATTTCAAAAACGCTTTGTTTGGTATTAATAATTAGCAAATATTTTGCCCATCAATCCCCTGAACCTGCAAAAGCCTAGGTCAGTGGCCTAGTCAATAATCCGTTCTTGCATAAGCGAATACAGAATTTGAATTTTTAGTTACTATTAATATCTACTAACAATTTAGATAAATTCAAACTATCAAAGTTTACAAAGAGTTCCTGCCTCTACAATATGTATTGATCTTGTAGGAGCCCCTCTCCGCATGGTATACTTTATGTTAGACTAAAGTTCAGGTTTTAACCTTGCTATGAGGATTGCTTTTCTGATGAATTCATTATCTTGTTCATTTCCCTGGAAATAATTGATTTTTGATTTTTAATAAATCAATAGATTTAGTTGATTCACAAAGTCAGTCATCCCTGAAGATGATTTTTTAAAAAAATATTGAATCTTAATCTTTTTCAAGTACACTTTTGAAATTATGAC